ACATTTTGGAGGTGATAAAGGTTACTACCTAGGACTTTTGGAATAATGTGAGAAGTACTCAGTTCCGATTACGCATTATTTTGTGTGAGGGAAATGAGAGATCATGAGATATGTCATGTGACATTAATGGACGAATCACTGTTCTTTAATCGGAAAAGGGGGTAAATTTGTAAAAATATCTGCTGTACAGCATTAGTTTCATTCTATGTTCTGTAAAACAGTGTTGTTTAATATGTGGATCCCATGGCCCTAGATAAAGTAAATCCGAAATTTTTATTGCGTTTATGTGTAATTGAAAAGAATTGCTTAATTGCGGATAAGTATGAATGTCCAACATGTGGGTTATGAAATGAGATTGTGTGAAAGGAAGGATATTACAGATAAGTTTGAATGGCGGTGCAAGAAATCTGGTGAAAACGGACATTTTGTGATCTGTCATGCACTCAAGATTCTGTAGAAGATTAGGTAAGTTAGTATTTTTAATTATTTGAGGATATTATTTTTATGCATTGTTCTAAATGTAAGGAGTAAATAAATTAATATGGTATTATTGGAAAATTGTTATTAGCAATGATTTAGTTTAAAGTAATTAGGATTGTAAGCTAATTTTTATTAATTTAATGTATGTGCTTATTTATATTTTAAGTAGTGTTTTTCAATTTAATTATATTTTAATTTAATGATCGTGGTTTGAGATGAGAGTTATTTTATGTTTGTAGTATTTGGAATACGTTTGAGTAGAAGTAAATGTGCATGGAAAGAATTTAAGTATTTGGAACCATTTTTAATGTTTGCGTTAGAAATTGGTAGGTGAGGTTTATAATAGATAATTTAGAGGGAAAAGTTTTTGGATATTTTATTTATTTTATACGTGCCAAATGTTCATCCTTGGAAAGGGTATATACTTTTTCGCGATCAGGTAATTTCATATGTCCTTTATACCGAATTCAAAGATTCAAAATTTTCACAAATTTTTCATGCATTTTTTTCGTGAAATTTTCTAATTTATGAGAAAAAAGCAGTGTACATGGATATAGTGAGAGTGTGTGCAATGCCATTTTTGTGCAATTCTGGGATGTTTTTTTAAGTAAAAATAATTTGATGTGTACATGGTTTAATTATATTTTAATTAAATGATAGTTATTTGTGAATTATATGTTTGTAGCAATTTGATATACGTTTGAGTGGAAGTAAACGTGCATGGAAATAATTTAAATATTTGAGACTAAGTATTTGCAACTATTTTTAATGTTTTGTTATAGATTCGTTGGTGACGTTTATAATAGATAATTTAGAAGTAAAAGTTTTTGGATATTTTATTTATATTATACGTGGAAATGTTCATCCTTGGATAGGGTATATAATTTTTCGCGATCAGGTAATTTCATATATGTGCTTTTTACCAAGTTTAAAGATTCACAAAATTTTCCTGCATTTTCGTGCAAATTTTTGTAATTTATGAGAAAATAGTTTAGATGGATAAAGTCAAGAGTGTGCGCAATGCCATTTTTGTGCAATTCTGGGATGTTTTTTTAAGTAAAAAGAAGTCGGCGTGTACATGTTTACTGTGTATGTGCGATTTTGAAAAACGCGGCAAGGAGCTTGCGATTCTGCACTTTTTCCCAATTTTGCAGTTAATATTTGTCATGATTAAGCAGTTTTGTTCCATAAAATTTCAAGCATAAGTGTAATTTGGCTAGTAGATTGTTGGAAAAAGTGTTGAGTAAATAAAAAGAAAAGAAACATGTCTTTACTTCGTGAAGACAAAATGGCGGCGGGAAAGAAAAAAAAAGAGGGTTGCTGTAGCAGAGTTGGTCGCCAAATTTTCGCCAAAAAATCGCCAAGTTACCATAATCCAAAGATCAACCAATATCTCTATTAAAAATTACTAATTATTAAAAATTAAATAATTAAAAATTAAGTAAATCTTAAACACTTATTTCCTCAAAAAAATTCCAGAAAGGATTAAGCATGATTTAAATTGCAATAATAAATGAAGGCATTTATCTTTGTTGTTGCGAAGCTACGCTTCTCTAGATTGGCAACAAATTCACTATTCTGCTGTTTCAAATGTACACAAGCAATGGCCGCCATCAAAAAAATTATTAGGCTTAGCGGCTTTTAAACAACTTTTAAACTGACAATAATTCTAAAAATATTGCATACAGATTTACTAAAGGCATAAAAACCTTAACCAGAAGATAAAAACAACATAATTCAATCATTTTTAAAGCAAAAAATGTACAATTTACAAACATATAAGAGTAAAGAAACTGAGATCAGTGAGCCGGGTAACAGAGTGGATATATTTATATACGTTTGACGTGGCCGATTGAAACCAAAATACGAGGTGCACATCTACATGTTATAGTAGTCCTATATACAAAATTTCGACGTTCTGAGGCTACTCGTTTTTGAGTTATGCGAGATACGTACGTACATACGTTTGTACAGACGCTACGAAAAATTATCATCAGAATTCATTTTAAAGCAGTTTTTTTAATTTTTTGGAGGAAAAGGGTCTTTTATTCTGTCCTTACGTACAGATATCACGCAAAAACATCGTTAAATTGCATTCAAAAGTGGTCAAAATGGATATTTTCGTTGAAATATGCTGCCTGAAGCTTTTCGCGATTACAATACTTCCTTTTTACTTCATACAAGGAAGTAAAAAAATCCCAAATACTCCTAACACATTAATTTAACCAAAATCAAACTCTTGGCAAAACTAGCATTTGTTAGCAGCTTTAAACACTAAACTATTTTTGGAGGCTTGTTAAGAAAAAATAAAAGTTACTATAAAGAAAATGTACACATTTTCGTAATTAAAATTTAGTTCATATATAATTAACAAAAAGTAGTTTTAGATCTTATTGTCTAGCAATTTTTTAAAACCACTAATTTCCTTGCTATCTTTATAAGTGAATTTCTCATTAGCAATCTTTCTCATAACATAGACATAACAGTCTAATTTTTCACTTAATGTTATATGATTCGATAAACAATCCATTCAATGTTAATATAGGTAATATAGTTTCTTCTTATTAAAATATGTGTTAAATTGTTAAAGAAATTCTTAGGATACTTTATAAAGTATACTTTTTAATATCAGCCTTTGAACACACAATTTTTTAATTAAATAAATTCAGAGAAATACAAACATGTAGAATGCTTTGTATTAACAAGATTAAAAAAGTTATTTTCATAAATGAATAGTTTTCTTGCATACCTAATTTATAGAGATGATTATATTGTGAAAAAAAAAAAAAATCTAGAAAAGTAATCCAATAGCCTCTAACAGACAGAAACTTCTCAATTTTGCATTACTGAATGTGAATAATACCACAGTATATGAGAATGCATAAAATGTTGTACTTAAGCACAAAAACACATACCCTAAAACATAAGAGAGGTTGCTGTATCAAACCAGATTGTTCATATAATACTACTTGCATTAACAAATGATAATGCCCAAAGACCCACTGACTAAAAATAAAACTTAATTAGTTTGATAGAAGTTACATCCCTACCTAAGGAATGTGGGCTGATTGTACCGTTAAACTGCTCTGCATTCATTGGTATGGTCATTAGAACCGCATATCAATGATCCTATCTCACAACATCCATAACTGTCATGAAGTCAAAGACAGATTTGGGATGAAAACTTCTCAGAGAGGCTGAACATTAATGGAAGCTGCTATAACTAGACTAAAAGCTCCCCATTCACTCATCCAGTGCCACTTACCATACATCCTGGTTGAATAGTCTCATGAAGCATCAGAGTCGTAGCTAGGGTTTTCAGCGCCCAGGGACAACTGAAGATTCGCACCCCCTACTGCTTGCCAAGGATGGAAAACATTTAATTCTAAAATGTCGTAACATCAGTTTGGCGCCCCTTGGATTCTGCGCCCGAGGACAGATGCCCCCCTTGCCCCCCTCTAACTACGCCCCTGTGAAGCATCGTTGCAAGAATGTTGAATGCAGAGGTTGGGTTTTATTGTTAGTTTTCACTGCAATGTTTACCACAAACTCGTTTTGCACATTGACATGAATTCTTACCCCAGTGTAATAACTATAATAATGCCTAGAATATATTAGATTTTTGATAATCTTAATCCTCATCATCATGAACAGTGATGAAACAATTTTCACTTGGCTCAGATGACCAGAAATTTAATACAAGGAGAATCCTAACCAACAACACACATTCCATGTCATTGCAGAGTGATGTATGTCCATCACCCCAGATGTTAACACTTGATAAGCTAGCCATTTTGATACTCGCTTACTCAATCATTTTTACTATCAATTTAATAGCTGATAATACTTCAATATCATCCTGCAAACTACTATATTGCCAATGTTATCACATTTGCTTTAAGCCATCTTTCAATGTCTCCTGCACACAGTAACATCTCAAAGGAATGTCTGCACAGCATGACAACATTCTCTTGATATGTCAGATTGCTATACACCTCCCTAGTCACACACACACACATGGAACATATTAGGATGCTTATTACACACATCTCATAGTACATGTGAATATACAGAACACCTTGCAATATTCTCCAGGAAAGTATTTCATGTCTTTATGAGGCCATGCCAGTCAATATATCCTCAGGCATAGCTATCATACTAGTATCTCATATTTTTAACCTTATTTGCTTGATAAATCAATTACCTGCTATCTAGTTTTCGTAAGTTCATTTTTGTATTGTTACTGCTCATATCAAGTTTTGTCATAATCTAAAAATCTTTAGTTAATTGAACAAATTTCTGAAACTGCACATAAGACCTTTTTCTTTCTTTCTTTTCTTTTTTTTTCTTTTTTTTTCTTTTTTCCCATCCATATCACTCATACACCTGATATGAGTTTAAAATTGTGAACTTTAATTAAACAAATGCAGCAAAACACTTTATAGTAGTAATTATAGTAGGTAATTTAGTATATAAATATTTATAATAGGTAATTTCAAATAGCCAAACAAAATACTCACTTGGGTGTAAAGTAGGAACATGCTGTGCCATTCTGTCATCTTTTAACATGTGTAAAAGTGTAGTTTTTCCTGCATTATCCAAGCCCAAAAATAACAGTTTGCCACTCTTTTTCCATAATCCTAACAATCATGCAAAAAGTCATGCAATAAATAGCACTACATTTCAAACAGGCAAAATGCTCTATAAAAAAGTTTAAGTAATACAAGCATATAAAATTAGCATAAAAATATCTCAACTTTCTTATTAATGTATGTTATTACAATACATTATAAAATAATACACCAAGTCATTGAATGCATAAATTCTTGAAGGAATGTTTCGGTAGTTATCGTTTATTTTTATGCAATTTCGATTTTTAAATTAATGTGACTCATAGAAATTGAAGCAAAGTAAAAATTTATCTTGCACCACAAAATCAAGGGAAATCCCTTTTTGAAAGCACACAGTCTTTTTGACATTTTAATCTACACACTGTGATGCTGATCTTACCTTATTTACATAATATTTAGCGCAGTATCAGTATTTACTGTTGTTAATCTTTGGATTATGGTAACTTGGCGATTTTTTTGCAAAAATTTGGCGACCAACTCTGCTACAGCAACCTGCTAGTTTATGTTTGGATGCCATTTTATTTTCACAAAATAAAGTTTTTTTTTTTTTTTTCTTTTACTCAACATTTTTTTCCAACAATCTGCTAGCCGAATTACGCTTATGCTAGAACTTTTATGGAACAAAAGTGCTTAATCATGACTTAGATTAGATGCGAAATTGGGAGAAAGTGCAGAATCGCAAACTGCTTGCCGCGTTTTTAAGCATATACACGGTATCAGCCGCGTTTTTAAGAATTGCATATACACAGTATCATCCATGTACACGTTGACCCATTTTCACTTAAAAAAACATCCCAGAATTGCACAAAAATGGCATTGCGCACACTCTTGACTTTATCCATGTACACTGCTACAGTCCTAGCTAGTAACCTTTATCGCCTTACCAAAATGTCGCCAAACTACCTGTTACCATATTCCAAAGATTAACCTTTACTGTTTCAACTCTAGCCAGGAGGTCAAGAAGCAGAATGCTCCTTTTGTCCTAGAACACCATGAACATCACTTTTCGCCCAGACAGAGTCTGCTTGAATTTTGTTATGCAAGAAGATCTACTGTGATATCAATGCTTTGATTTCTGTTTGGTTTCCAGGAAAAAAGGGAGGGCAACCAATGTTTTACTGCCTGTGATAATTCTGTCAAGAAATTCCTTACTAACATTACAGTATCGTTGCAAAAAGGTCAATACTGATCCCATATGTCTCTTTTTATTTAGTGTCAGGCTCTTTTTGCATCCATATGGGATTTCAATAATTAAGTATAAGCCATTTCAACAATTGCACTTGCGAAAATTTCTGGAACATGAGGTGCTCTGTGTAACAAGCATGTTTTCATATAACAAAGAATAGGAATCATCTAAAGGAAATAGCACCCGAGTTCTGTAAATTGTGAAGCAACAATTCTCCAAAATGTGCTTCTACTGCACTAAACTGTCACTGATGATGGATAGCCAACCATTTTTCTCACGGTGGATGTCTTAATGACCTTCACGAAATTGCTTGCGGTTCCAGTGCACTATTTTCATGCTCATGATGTCAGGGCCCATAGGCTTGGCACAGCTGACAATTATGATCTATGCTATCTTCTGTGCATTCAAAAATTTGACTGAAGATTAACCTTTCAACTGCATTCCTACAAATGAACAGAAAGTGGCAACTGTCGCAAAAAAACATGTTTTTAAACTTTTTTTTAAGTGTCTTGTATTTTTAATTCATCTCTTGTAGGACTTTGTAAATTACTATTTAAAATAAAAATTGAAAAAGGGATTAAGAAATACTGAATTCTATTCCCAGTACAAGTCATTACATTATTTGTCAAGTTATTTTAGGTATGTATGTGCAGGGAGAAAAATTCTAATATAATGTATCGAGAAAATCCAGAATGATACACAACACTGCTATGGTCAAAGCAGGTTTATTTTTTAGTCTTTAATGAAAATGAGAACAGCATTGAAAGAACCTTTTGATCTTGAAGACATACGATTTTTTTTAATCCTCTAAAGTACAATTTTAAAATTTATCATTTGGATTTTGGACATGAATAATTGTTTTGTCAAACATCTCAAGGTAATAATAATCCTTAATAGAGCAGATGCATTTACTTCTAATAACAACATTGTTCAAGAGATGCACGTGACATTTCTTTGAATTATGTTTTCCAAATAAAGTAAATTTATTACCAAGCAGTTGAAAAATTATTAAAAATTTAGCTCTATTGATTAATCAATCAGCAAAGCTAAAGTTTATTAATTACTGCTCATTTCATTAAATATTGATTATCATTCAACCTGACTGATTAATCAATGACTTCTTGAACATAAACATGTAAATAGGATCCCAGTGGAACACTTCATGTTGCAAAATTAATTAGCAATCACTTATCGCACTGCTCCAAGACTTGAAGATTCCAAAGGTTAAAGCATGCACAGATTAGGTTAGGTTATTTGGTTACAGGAAAGCACACAAGGGCTATCTGCCTCAGGGAAAGAATGGCTTCGGAACAATTTCTAGGTAAAACTGGCTCATATTCATCTTACACAGCTGGAAAAACCAACCATACAGCCAGTCTATTCACCTGGGTTCAAACCAAAGTTGAACTATTACCATTCAGCAGTCTTAACAACTTGGCCACCGCTTCGGGAAAGGAGGTTCATGCATGCACAGATTGATACAAAACAAATCCCCCAAAAGATCACATTTCTGCATGCACAGAATTCTTCTCAACTTACTGGGGTGAAGAGTTGGAATTGGCTGAGTCATACGATCTTCTTTTAACATACCTAATAATGTAGTTTTACCTGCATTATCTAGACCTAAAAAAATCAACTTGGCACTTTTGCGATACAACCCTAGAAGAAAAAATTTATAAATTTTCCTTTCTTTTATATAACTGTATCCTTTTTTATTTAAAAATATAAACACATTTATTAATAATAATCTTGGATTTAAAGGTAAAAATATATTTACGGTTGTCCCTTGGTGGAAATTTGCGATTTTTGGCAGAACATGGATACCAAGTTTGCGCAATTCTTTGACTTGTTATCTTGCCTTTGTGTAATAACAATTTTAAAAGTATATTTATGGGTATCTCTTAGCAAAATTTGTCAATTTTTAGCAGTACATGGATACAGAGTTTGTGCAATTCTTTGACTAAGCATTGCACACTCCAATGGACTTGATCCATGTACATATCGACCTATTTTCACTTAAAAAAACAACAGAGAATTGCACAAACTTGGCATTGCGTACTCCCTTGACTTTGTCCATGTACACATTAATATATTTTCACTTAAAAGTCAACGGAGCACCCAATTCTAGGTAAAAGTATATTTACGGAACATTCATCTACTAAGGTTACCATAAATGAAAACTTCGCAATAATACAAGGGGCACCCTTCAATCTACTCTAACCGATTTAAATTTTAACGCATATCTAACTGAAACATTCTAAATTCTCTAATGATTATTTGTCAACTTGAAGCTATTTTAATGGGCAAGTAGTATATATTTTGGGGTACCCCTTGGATTACCGGCAAGTTGTTTCATTTATGGTAACCTGAGTACGGTGTGTGTTTCGGAAACCCTATCAGGACGTAATTGGCTGCTGTGCATGATCATGCTGATTTTGATTGTTGGAGAATATTTCTCAGGGCTTATTTCTGTGTTGGATGTCGGTAGGAAGTATGTTGCTCATTTTGTGCTTTACAACATAAAATGGCTCTCGGTTGTAAGATTAACCTGAAGTTTCTCTAAGATTTGGAATGAATGGAAAAGAAAGCATTGATTGACTGGTGTGTAAATGAAGATTTAAATGGCTTTATTGAACTCTCAGTAAATCAAGCAGTGACATTTAAGGATTTGGAAACAGAAGCTCACATCAACACTAAAGAAATATGTGGAATGTAATAAAAAGTGATTTTTGAAAGAAAAGCCACTGACAGTCTGGCACCATGGAGGATATTTTTCTTACTTTTGTGAATATATATGATGATGGTAGCACACAGATTCTAGTTCAGATGAATTTAAACAGTTTTTGGAAGCTGTTAAGGAATTCTGTGTGCCATACACTGTAATTTCTAAATAAGGTAAGTCGAAATTTCCTTTTTGTACTGTGCAGCTTAAATAACATGCATTTCCTTTTTTTTTTTTTTTTTTTTTTTTTTTGTATTTCCTTGTTTTACTTTGATTTAAAATGCAGTTTATTGAGATTATAATGTATTGCATTATGTTTTAGATGACATTTTACTTGGGATGGCATTGCACGTAAACAGGAATGGCTACAAAAATATTTTCGCCAAGGATTATCCTGAAATACACTTTTCCCTAATGGGCTTATATACACACTGAGATAATGACACCAGTAACTATTAACGCTTGCATAAGAACTTTCTGCAATGCCTTCTAAAAATAATTTCAGAATTCTTGAATTTAAGGATTTTACTTTTTAATTAGACAGAGTTAACATACTAAGACTGTATTAAGAATGGAAACCATACAGGCCAATAAATGATCTGAAGCTCAAGTACAACAATAGCTCATACAGTCTGGTTTAGATTAGTCCAGACTCACTATAATCCGACTTGAAAATTTTAAAATAAACAAACAAAATTTTAATTAAACAAAATAAATATAAATTAAAAAAGTTTGGTACAAAACATATTTAATATATAAAGATTTCTCTTCTTTATAGTATTTTTTTTTTCTCTTCTTTATATAGTAAAGCCTCTTTTTGGGGCAATTCATTTTAATTCAATTTTAAAATTAAACTAATGTAATTAATAATTACATTAATTACTTAATAATTTAATTTAAAATTAATTACTTTTTTTTTCTAGGATTCCTCATACTATGCATGTATGTACTCGTGCTGGAGTCATTCGCTCGTAACTACGATAGCTATCACTGAAGGAGAAAATTTACATACTTTGATGGATTTAAGCAAGAATTACAACATCAAAAACATAATTGAAAATACAGACAAAGCATGCTTTGTGAGCAATGACAACAGTATGGAAACATAACCTGCACAAGAATAAGGGACAAACTATAAAACTTATTGGAATAGTTGAAATCTCGAAGAGCATATTATAGAACCTAATATTGAATGTAGCCTTACAATTGACCAAACACTGTAATTCATTGCTACAAAGAAATATATGAAGAGAAAAGTCACATAAGAAGCATGCGCAGACATTGATATTGCAACTTTAATAAAACAAAAATGATTTATGAAAAACAAACATTAAAAAAATTATTTCCAATAATGTACAAATTTATTAATTGGGTTTTCATTTACTGAAAAATAAGACAGAAATTTTGGAAGCCAATTATAATTTTTTATACACATTTAGCTTGATCTCAAACAATGTGGAGTATTGGCGAACCCAATTACCCAGATTATGCGAGCCATTTCTGTAAATGCTTTTCAGTTATGCCTATATGATGACAGCCTGTAGCATTATCATGCTCAAACAATCTGGGAAGAATGGCATTAATAAATGTAAATAATTAGCCAGCACGTATTTAAGAACTTTTAGAAATCATATTATGAGATGCAATTTTCTCCATGAAATGGGTTTTCACACTCTTATGGATGTCTCACTATTTGTTATTGGTTAACTGACAATGGCAGAGAATGTAAAAGTAGCTAGCTGCTTTAAAAAGAATTGTTCTGGTAATGATGTAATATGAGTTATCCATTTATTTTATAGATGGCAACACTAAATTGCTTGTAATTTAATTTTTTTTTTCCTTGACATTTTATTACTTGTTAGAATATGAAAGCTACTGAATGTTTTACTTTATGAAGCTACTGATATTGAAATTAAATGAAACCAAAATGTTATGGGTAATTTAATTAATGGAATCATTTTCATTTATGTATTCTTAATTGTTTATATTTATTTTAGTATTTCATAATGTCTGTTGTTAAGACACTGGTAAAAATGCTTTTGTGTGGTAGAAATTGAATGAATTTCTATTCATTGGAATTAAAAATTTAATAGGTTACTACATTAATTAATTTTAATTACTTGTATTTGTTTTCATAAGCATTTTAGTTGCATCACCTAAGAAATACCTAATTACCAGTATTTGTGTATTATGCCATCAATTGTGAAACATCACCAGACAGCATAATTTAATGCCAATTATGAATAAGTGTAATACAACAGCACATTTATAACATCCGCACTTTTGTTTGATGCAACCTTGGCTAATTCTCAACAAACTACCTTTTGTTTTTACAAACATAAATATAAATATAAAGTAACTGTTACTATTGTATTTTTTCTTATATTCTGAAAGCAATGATTAAAATTTGGCACCTATATTCCATAATGAACAGAAGCAGTGATTATTTTCAAAACTATGTGATTATTTTCAAACTATGTGATTCTACCATTGAGCTAAATATGGGTAACAAAACAATAATAGATTGGAACAGTTACTTGCAGATACTTTTTACTCAAATCGTTCTAAACAGAACTCCTGGTAAAATTGCAGGGCCTAACAAAATAGCAGAAATCAACAAAAGCCTTTTTTACAAAACAGAAAAAAAAAAAAGTAGGTCAAATACCGATTGTTTATTAAATAAAAGGAAGCCAATTTCTTCAAAAATTTTCAAATAAAATGGGTGCAATTTTGGCGAGATTTCTGCCAACTTTCACGGTTGGTGGGATACTATGTTAAACACCTAACTAAAAGTGGTAAATTGCATAATACATCATTACTAATACCCCAGCAGTGAGCATCTAAAGCAAAATTATATTCAAATTATATACAAGAAAAACCAGAAATCTTGTATCCAGCCAGTTCATGGCAATTGCACCTCAAATAAGATTCTAGACTTAAGACCAATTAGTGGACCTCGAATTATCTGGGCAAAACAACTTCATCTCCTTTTCATGATGCAATACTTCTATACGGCAGAAATGAATATTCATCTTAACTTACAACTTGGCATGGCTATGCAGAAATGGTTTTTATCTTTCCTTGCATTTGATACGACTGATAATGCAAAGACAGAGATGGTTCATGATCCAAGAGCTATACTGGCTAATGTTAACAATAGTTTACGGATAGCTACATTATGACAGATAAAATGTCCAGCATAAATATTGTAAAACAAAGGAATTAAGCCAGCGACTAAGAATCACCCCACAAAATTTCGTGCAGGTAACTTAAAACAGAATTTCCTACTTTTAAAACAAAGCTTCCTAAGGTTTCTCACAAAGCTTTATATACCCATACATATGAACAGTTTTTTACGATACTCAACACTATTTTGACTAAAAACTGTGGCTCTCAAACTATACAGAAAATATAAGGAGCATTTTGACAGCAGAAGAAAGAAAAATTAACTAAAAGTGAAGCAGTTTTTTTTTTCACGTATATTCCAACACTGCAACAGATGTTGAAAGAAAAAGAAGCTTCTCACGATATAAAAACTTATATACTGAAAACAGATCTTTCCCTTTCAAAAATATCACAAAGCCCTTGAATAATTAAGCAAAATTGTAATACATTTGTGCAAGGTTGAAAATTTGGTAGAAAAAAAATAAAATTTAAGACACAGGTACGTGCATCTGTTTGGGATTTAATCCATTTGTGAATATTTGTCAACTGCATCCTTTTCTATGTTACTATTTCTTATTGGGGGGGGGGACTTTTTCATTTTTAAGGCATTTTTGGCCATTTTTAAGATCTTCACTGAATTTTTTTAGTTATTAAAATCTAGACCTTATTTAAAAACACACACACACACATATATATATAAATTAATTTTAGACATCTTAATTCTACTTTTTATTACAAAATTCTACCTTACAAACTGTATATACTCTTACCATATACCATGCTTTGTTTTTCTGTGAAAATCAAACATATCATTGACTGACTGCCTCTTCAGACTGTTAAAACTTTAAATAGCAGCATACTGCTTTTTAACCTACTGCTATTTTTAAATATCTGAGAAAATCATTATAATACAGTCAAAAGTCTTTAATCCACACTCGTCGGGACTTCGGCGATTCCGGATTATAGATCATCACTTTAAATCTGGTATGATAGCATGCAGAAATTATAAAATTAAAAATATGAAACAAAGAGCTATTATGATCTAAAGGGTATCGAAATTTACAAAAAAAAAAAAAAAAAAAAAAAAAAAAAAAAAGAGCTTAATATTTATTTGTTTACATTATTAAACATTTCTTTGAATGCGTGCATGCGTAAAGCATACATTACGCATAGTCGAAATTAGAAAATTGCAACCAGAAAACTATTTGATGTATATTCATGATATTTATAATGACGAGAAATTTGATTTAAATTATATCAAAGACGGAGTACATCGAGATGAAATACTACATTTAGTAAGGAATTATAAGCCGAATAAAATAAAAACATCTGCCCTGAAGATAAGGATAGTGTTGACAGATCAACTTACAATTCATTTTAAGCAGCGACATGGAATTCAAGAAATTGGACTTTATGGGAAGAAACGTAATGGTGACCAACATGCAGCCGACGATTTCCACCATGAATTTGAAGAATTTGTTTTAAAAGAAGAGCTATCGGTTGATTTTTACAATATGGTAACTGGTAGTTTGGCGACATTTTGGAGGCGATAAAGGTTACTACCTGGGACTTTGGTAATAATGTGAGCAGTACTCAGTTCTGATTACACATTATTTTGTGTGAGGGAAATGAGAGATCACGGGATATGTCATGTGATATTAATGGACGAATTACGGGTTCTTTAATCGGAAAAGGGGGGAAATCGGGAAAAAAATCTGGAAATTTTGTATTGGCTTTATTCTGTGTTGTGTGAAACAGTGTTCGTGAATTTTTGGATCCCATGGCCGTAACTAAAGTGAATTCGAAATGGGTATTTAGTGGTATTTAAAAGGGTAGTAATAAATGTTTCTTTAAGGGTTGTGCGAGATAGAAATAAAGATGTTTTATTAAGTTATTTATTTTACCTGGTACCTTGCTGTGAAATATAAGTATGATTTAAAGATCCTGAAACAGAAAGAAGAAAAGTTTATCGGACACGTAATCAAGATTCAGAAGAAGATTAGGTAAGTTAGTATTTTTAATTATTTGAGGATATTATTTTTATGCATTGTTCTAAATGTAAGGTGGAAGTAAAGGAATTTGGTATTATTGGGAAAATTGTTATTAGCAATGATTTAGTTTTTTTAAAGTAATTAGGATTGTAAGGTAATTTTTATTAATTTATGTATGTGCTCATTTATATTTTAAGTAGTGTTTTTGAATTTAATTATATTTTAATTAAATGATAATTATTTTGTGAATTTTACGTTTGTAGGAATTTGGTATACGTTTTAGTTGAAGTAAACGTGCATGGAAATAATTTAAATATCTGACACTAAGTATTTGTAATACTTGCGGTATGAATTCGTTGGGTGACGTGTATAATGTAATAGATGATTTAGAGGGGTAAAAGTTTTTGGATATTTTATTTATTTTATATGTGGAAATGTTCATATTTGGAAAGGGTAAAATACTTTTTCGCGATCACGTAATTTCATATATGTTCTTTTTACCGGGTTTAAAGATTGAGAAAATTGTCATGTATTTTCGTGAAATTTTTCTAATTTATGAGAAAAAAAAGCAGTGTACATGGATATAGTGAAGAGTGTGCGCAATGCCATTTTTGTGCAATTCTGGGATGTTTTTTTAAGTAAAAATAAGTCGGTGTGTACTGGTTTATGTGTATGTGTTATTTTGAAAAACGCGTAAGGAATATGGTATTGTGCACTTTTTCCCAATTTTGCAGTGAATATTGTCATGATTAAGCAGTTTTGTTAGATAAAATTTCTAGCATAAGTGTAATTCGGCTAGTAGATTGTTTGGAAGAAAAGTGTTCAGTAGATAAAAAGAAAAGAAACATGTCTTTACTTCGTGAAGACAAAATGGCGGCAGGGAAAAAAAAATAGAGGGTTGCTGTAGGAGAGTTGGTCGCCAAATTTTCGCCAAAAAAACGCCAAGTTACCATAATGTAAAGATCAACCGAGCTATCTTTTGAACAAATTTACAATGCTGACGAATCGGGACTTTTGTGGAAATGTCTTCCCACTCTAACTTTAGCATTTGAAAGTGAAACGGTGGGTCATAAAAGCAGCAAGGAAAGGATCACTATCATGTCTTGCAGTAGCGCTACCAGTGGACATAAACTTGTTATCATTAGAAAGTAAAAATAAATGAGATCTTTCAAAGGCACAAGGATAGAAAATTTGCTCGTTGATTACTTTAACCAAAAAAAAAAAAAAAAAAAAAAAAAAAGGATGGATAAACCGAAACATTTTCCAAGAAAGGTTCGAAAAAAATCTTTGTTCTTCAAGTGAGTAAACATCTTAAATCGAAAAACCTGTGCTATTGATCGATAACGCACCTTCTTACCCAGCAACAAGCGTGCTAAAGTCTTCTGATGGACAAATGTTTGCAAAGTTTCTCCCCCCAAACGTTACTGCGCTAATCCAACCCATGGACCAAGGAGTCATTGCAACAATGAAGAGAACATACCAAACCAAGCTGCTAATGACCAAAATTGAAGAAGGTTATGATCTGAAAGAGTTTTGGAAACACTACATAATCGTGGACAGCATCTACGATATTGCATCTGCATTGCCTCTGTGAAACCGTCAACCCTCATAAAATCATGGAGAAAACTCATGCCTAATGTTGAAGCCAACAACAACCAAACCCCTTTGAATTGTGAAGAAGAGAATGAAGATGTAGACACACCCACGGCAACTCTTGCTGATATAGTGAAAACAATTCCGGGTGGTGAGAATGTCGATGCTGAAAACATTAACGAGTGGTTGGAGTGTGACGTCAACGAACCTGGCTTCGAACGCTTTACAGATGACGAAACTGTGAAGAAAGCAAGGGGAGATCGAGAATAAAGGACAGCGAAGTGAAGGCAAAGAAGAGCCCACTGTGAAGATGCTGAAGACTCACGAAGCAGCTTTGCAACAAGTCGACGGACTGCTGAGGTATTTGGAAGAACAAGATGACGTGGAGTTGGCCGAGAAACTTATGCTACAAAAAATGCAATCTCAGGTCAAGAGAAAATGCTTTCAAAGATTACAGTATTAAAACAGCACATATGTATTAATTTTTCTGTGTATCTTTGACGCCTCTCGTAAGTATACAAAGCACTTTTTTGTTTTCATTAACAAAATGTATTTTAGGTTAGTTTTGAGTGATATACTAAAATATTAAGCGTTAGTTAAACATTTCCTGCTGTTTATTTTATGTTTTATTGTACATAAAACGATTTTTCAAAGTTGGAATGACTGTTTTCTCTTTTGCTATACTCGTTTTTAGCTTTTTTCAGATTATCAGCGATTTTTGTTATCCACGGTGGCCGTGCCACCCGATTCCGCGGATAATCAGGAGTGCACTGTATGTGCATTTCTTAAAAATGCGCCAAACAGTGGGTGATTCTCCACTTTCCCCAAACAAGGAATTATTAAAGCTTCTTTTTATTAGAACAGTTCTAAGAGAAAATGACGTCACAGTCCGCTAATCATATGTATGAATGCTGGAGTAATATATACACAAACAGTTTAATATGCATATTTCTTAGCTAAAATTAAGACTTTTTCATTCATTACAGTAATAAATTCATTATTTCTATGCTCATTAAAATCCAAGTTTAAGGACGCAACTGTGTAGAATATGCTTTAAATATTATGAAACAAATTACTGTAGAACATTACAAGCAGAATGGAATTAAGAAATCACAAGAAAATGTTTTTATTCTGCTCTAACAATAATTTAAATCTCACACCAGATTTAAGTATAAATGCATTATCTTTGTTGATTATTTGGCATTTAAACATGTATGTAAGAAACATTTATACAGAATCACAAAAATGCTCATAAGTATGAAGAAACTGATTTAATACATTAATAGTTACAAGAAAATTCTTTTAAAAGACTATTAAATATATAATTTTAATCCTTTTTGTGTGTGTGATAAATAACACTACTTACCTAAAAAGCTTAATACCCCTGCAAACCAATCAAAGATAAACATTGTATATTTTTGAGTGCCTGTAAAAATAAATAAATAAATAAATAAATAAAAATAAAGTATAAAATTTTACTAAAACAAATACACAAACACAATTTTTGAAAATTAGACATAAATGACCCTAAAAATTTAACATTTAAAAATATCATGAATTTCAATGATTTATTCAAAATTAATAGTTTAACTACACAAAGCACCAATATAACGCCATTTCAAAAAAAAAAAAATTATGTATTGTTTATTTTCCGCAAATTAAGTTTTCTCTTTGAATAAAAACATAAAAGTAATCATTTTATCTTTAAATAAATCTACTCAAAAGCAATTACGATAAAAGATTAACATTTTTAACAGTGCAAGTACACTTCTGCATCAAACGACTAGCAACTGAAAAAACGGGAAATTTTATATTAAATAAAGCACAGCGTTCATAAATTTCTCACAATGCTTTTAACTGTTTACACATCAAAATACATGCGTAACAAGCACCTGTGTCTGATGTAAATAAATTCCCAAACACGGCATACGACAAATTAAGGATATAAGAACAGCTACCATTCATTAACGAAACTACGGAAATTAACTATAATTAACAAGAGAGCAATATACGAATGTTAGTCATACAAAAATATAATTCAATAAAACTTACCGTATACCGAAGGCGTTTAACAGCCGTAGAACAGTTTGGAAAGAAAGATTAAAAGAGACTTATGCCAGATGATACGAAATGAGCAAAACCAGATGTTCAAACATGATACATCAATTTTGCCGGTTTAATATTCAAGAACATGTAATTTAATTTAGGCAAATTAGAGGAGCTTCATTTCAATTGATATAATTTAAAGTGATCAAACAGAAATTTTTTATTTAGCTTCTTTTTTATTCAAACGAGAAAAGTAAATGCCTGATATGAATGTAGCATTTAATTATGTTCTGAGGAATATTTAACAAACATAGGTATACACATTATGAATTTTATTGTATTACTAGATAGTAACTTATTTTCAAAAGTCATTTACATAAAAACAGTAAAATGTATTACTTTATGATAAAAGAATACAATTTGCTACCGGGAGCTATGAAGAGAAATCATCTGCTGCAACTGTAACGGCGTTTTTTCCGCTCTATTCGGCGGGAATCTCTTTTCCGCGCTTTTCGTCGTGAGGAAGGTGGATATTGTCTGCGTCAGCCTTTGGCATTTGATTTCTTTGTTTCATTAAGGTATATTTAATTTAATTTTGGAAATGTTTGAGGCACGGTTAGTACAAGGAGCTCTTTTGAAGAAAGTTTTGGAAGCAATTAAAGATTTAATCAATGAAGCGACATGGGACTGTTCTGCTACAGGAATCAGTTTGCAAGCAATGGACAATTCCCATGTTAGTTTAGTTTCCTTAAATTTGAGAAGTGATGGCTTTGATAAATTTCGATGCGATCGGAATCTGTCAATGGGCATGAATCTTGGCAGGTTTGTAATTGAATTCTTTTCTTACTTTCCTTTCTTATTTTTGTATTTTTACAGTTTCATAGTTATTGGATATGTATGCATATTTGGTAAGAGACGGAGATTTATTTTTTCATTAATAAGTTCCTGAATTTGAAGAATCATTATTTAATTTTTATTAAAGTTTATTTAATGTAATCAAAGATAATGTAATTTTTTTTTAGAATTATCTTCGTAACATTTGTAATTTTTTCTACTGTTATTTGCTAGATACGTTAAAATCACTTGAACTAAAGAAAACAAAATCTGGATAAAGTCAGGTTTTATTATTATTATTATTTGTGTGTGTTTGTTTATGTAAAATGTTTGCTATTTTATGTTATAATTGTATGACAATTATTTTTATGGATCTGTCGAAATTTTTTATGTAATACTGATAAATTTACAAGCTTTTAATATATGATGTTTGCAAAATAAAAGTTATAAGTTATTAATAGAATGGAAGGGAATTAATAGAAATATGATCCTTTGCAGAAGTGCTTCCGAATGGGGATATATAAAATATAGATGTATCAATCCATAATGGAACTTAAAACCAAAAGTAGAAGATGTTGTGATCTGAAATTTCAGATTACAGTCTACCATTAAATTTTAGAAAAGTTGTAAATAATAAGAGTCAGAAGATGGTCATAAATAATAAGAGGAGGGAGGTTTTAATTAAAATTGTCATCTGATTTTAATATGCTGCTACACACCTGAAACAATTAAGCTAAGCAAGCTTATTTGTTTAAGCATCAGTGCTTCAGAAGTTAAAGACATAGAACTTACATGCTTACATTTAAGATGAACTAATGAGGATGGTAAAGTAAAGATCCTCTTTTGTTATCAGGACTGGATTCGAGAATATATGTACATGTATATATGAACATGCATGAACACAGCTCCACCCGTAGATACACACATTTCTGAATCTGGTCCTGATAACAGAAAAGTACCTAAAAGATATATACCATATGTTCATGAAATCATTTATTCAAGCCAGAACTGTATAGTTACTTCACTGGAAAGCATGTAACATTCAGTTTTTTAAAGTATTGTTAAAATAAGAAATATGCAGAATGAAAACCAACACCTTGATGATTCCTTTGAGCTACTTAGGAAATCTAAATTTGAGCCACTAAATATTGTATGGTGAAAAAGAATGAAAACCAACACCTTGATGATTCCTTTGAGCTGCTTAGGAAATCTAAATTTGAGCCACTAAATATTGTATGGTGAAAAGTATATAGCAAGTTAACTTCTGAAAGACAGTGGCCAAAAAAGAGTTTAGAGTAGCAATATCTTGAAAAGACTGTGATTTGATCGATTTATAGACCAGAGAAATTTTGTCCCCACTCTGCTACAGCCTTAAGGGGATATTTTGTTGGACACATTGTTCAATAGCATTCTTGTCTGGCAAGTGTTAGTCACAACCATGGGAGTTCGTAAACTTCTTTTTGTTTTTCCTCAACAGCAGCATTTATTAGAATGATTGCTTGTTTTGTTTCACATGATTCGTTTGATATCTAGTATTCTTCACAAATACTTGGCTGTGCTGTACTGGTAAGAAAAGCGATTCTAAAATTTAAAAGAAGATTCATATGTTTTTATCACTCAAAATTGCACACACAAAGACATTAATATGTGTAAATGCATATAGATGTATATATATTTAACCATTTTATACCCGGATTTGGTAAAAGTATATTTACGGGTATCCCTTGGTGGTACATGGATACCGAGTTTGTGCAACTCTTTGACTGGCCATTGCGCACTCCCTGGACTTTATCCATGTACACGTCAACCTATTTTCACTTAACAAAAATCGGAAAATTGCACAGACTTAGCATTGCACATTCCGTGGACAGGGGAAGTGCAGAATCACCCACTGCTGGGCACATTTTTAAGAATTGCACAAATTCGGCATTGCGCATTCCCTTAACTTTGTCCGTCTACACATCAATGTATTTTCACTTAAAACTTCAAAGGAACAAAAAGCCAATTCTTCTTACTCTTGTAAAAAGGGCCAAACATAACTCTCCAACTAAGTAGACGATTCTGCACTTCACCCCCCTTGACATTATCCATCGATATATTTTCACGTAAAAAGTTGAAGGAGCGCCCAATTCTAGGTAAAAGTATATTTACGGAACATTCAACTATTCAGGTTACCATAAATGAAACAACAGATAAACGGAACTATTTGGCAATAAACGAACAACTTCGCAATAATACAAGGGGTACCCTTCAGTCTACTCTAACCCCAGATTTTTTTAGATGCATTAAAAAAGTCTACAAAATATTGTTTATGGATGTTGGAAGAACTCTCTTCCACAATACTGTTCCTACTACCAAATCATTCCACAAACAATGTTAAAAGGTAAACATAAGACAAGTGGGAAAACACATGCTGACAAGCTGCCTGAGGAAATCTGTGGTGGTAATTAGTAACACAGTCTCTTCTACCAGTAAAATATATCTTTGCTCCTGATGCAGAGATTCAATGTTTGAAAGTTTCAATGGGCTAATAAGTTAGTTGAAATCGATTAGAGTTTGTTTCTCCAACGTAAGAACAACAGCAGCAGAGTATTCGTAGAACAGGGGTTTTTTGGAAGAATATGCATATTCTTGGCTTTGTCATTCTCTTTGTCAAATGTTGATTAGAGATATTGGTACATTTCTTCAGAAAATTATTCAACCTGTGCAAGATTATCAACGATCTATTCAGGCTGCTGAAAAGGATATGAAACAGCAACTTAAAGAGGCTGGTTATAATCATTTTACTATGAGCCATAAGTACAATTCTGTAGACATAACATGGAGTGTTTATATCCAAAATGTGGGGTTTAGCCAAGTGGCAAAATAAAAAATAATGAAACACGGCTCTCATTACCTTGAATCATATCTTTCAAAATTTATGTGGAGAAAGTACACAAAAAAAAAAAAAAATTATGTTATTGATGAAATGTTGAAAACAGTTTTGAAAATGTGGCCTTGTCATACCGATTGTTTAAAATATTCTTAGGAAGCAACATGCAAATATTATTATAGACTGTATTGTTTATTTTTATATTCATGCTTCACAAGCTTGATGAAATCATGGCTGCAATCTTGCCATAAACATAAGGTTGCCATATAAGGGGCCGCAATAATAAGGAAGTGCCCAATATCAAACACAAGCAATCATGTAGTATAAGAGATAAGACAGTTCAAAGTACTTCAAAAGGTAATATGTATCAAAGAAAAAAAGAGAGAGAGGTATGCTCTTTGGCAAGATTTTATTTTTATGCTTCTACCAGGCAGTTCCATGATTGATTTGAAAGTACTTACTGCCATGGAGTAGGCAAATTGAATGATACCATCAAACAGAAATAGCCAGAACAGAAAAAGTGTAGTGATTCACCATAATGCCAAATGTCCAAACCTCACGCAAGTTTGGTAATTTGTAATAAGCTGTTACAGCTTGAATGGAGAGCTTTATTACGTGTACCATATTTGTCAGATCTCGCACTCTTGGATTATTGCTCATTTTGCTTTTAATAATCAGTAAAACATTTACATCAAATAAGGATGCCAAAAATCACTTTCTTCAGTTTTTTTTGGAAGCAAAAATCGGAAGTTATACGAGTGTGGAATCCTTCTAATATGAGAAAGATGACAAAAGGTATGTGGCAATTATATATTGATCAAGATGGTCAATATGTAATTCAATTAAAGATTTAAATATTTGAGGAAAAATCCACCCCTTCCATGAAAAAAAGTCAAATTTCTTTGGAACTTTTCTTTTATAGCAGCCCCATAGTCCAGCAGAGTTTTTGGCTCGTTATTTACCACTCCAGATCTCACAAATTGATGAAGCATAACCACACATGTTTGAATGGTGGAATATGATAAAAAGCATATGCAGTCCTTTAGTTCCTGTCAAGAGTGCCAACTTTTATAAAAAATTGTATCTGTATCGATAACAGTCTGCTAATATCTTGGATCTATTCAATATTACTTACTGGCAGATTGCTAAAGCTGCAAAATACTGATTCTTCCTCGGGCTTTTTCCCACACTGTCAAATAAATTAGCTGTATGTGGGTGAAGTTTCCGTGTTTCTTGCCACATGCAATGAAATGAGCCAGTTTCACATAGAAAATGCTTAATCTATCCATATAGGCAAATTTTTATAGATTATTTTCACATAGTCATACCACCCTACCTATTTAATTAATCTAATTTCATTGACTGTGAAGCTGAATTCCTTTTCACCACGACATCTGATATATATATATATATATATATATATACTATATACACAAACTTAAAGCATCTAAAGTTAAAAGTAAATTGGAGTCGGAGCAAGGCAATTCCTCAATAATATTAATAATTGTTGCATCCTTGTAATGGGGTTAAACATAAAATCAAAGCATTTAAAAAAAAAATTATCATAGCAGTATTAATGCCCAAAAAAAAAAAAAAGAAAAGTTCAATATAAAAAAGCTCTTACGGATGATGAAATAGCAAATTTGTTGGCTGAGCTATCGGATGAGTACCCGAGCGATTTTAGTTATGACAGTGACGAAGAATTCGTTCCTCCGTCTGGTACCCATGATATTTCGGATTCTGATGATCATGAAGAACGAATCGTGCAAGAGGCTGCACGTCAGCAGGATGATTCAACTGGCGGAAAACGATTCAACATCAATGAAAAAATTTCCTTTCATATAATTCAAGTGTTTGCTCCAACCTGTTTCGGGTAACAATCCTATAAATTTCTTTCATCATTTTTTCACTGATGGTGTCTTGGAAGAAATAGTTGCTGAAACTAATGATTATACTCATAAAGTACTTTTTCGCCATGAGAAAAAAAAAAAAAAAAAAATTTTGCATCAGTGCTTGAAAGGACACCACAAAAGAGGAACTCTTGGTATTTGTGGGATTGATCATACATATGGGAACTATACGAATGAACCATAGACAAGATTACTAGAAAACAGTT